TAAGATATAGTCATGCCCTCAAGGCAGCACATAGTGTGCCTTTAATACATGTAAGTCTCTCTTCAACACTTCAGTAGCTCTGGGACTGCTTAGTACGATGTTTGTGTAAGAAGGGAATTTGGGGAAATTCAACTCTGGCTAAATCTCTTCATGAGCCATTGGAATCCAATTTTTTTTCTTTGCTCTGTTGCTTCTCTTCTCAAGAATGATGACAACCCAATACCGACTTCTCTCCCCAGCCATAAAACAAGTTTAAATTCCCATAGTGCCAGCCCAGGAGTCAAGACTAGACACAAAGAGTGACGTGTCGCAGCTGTGCCTCCTCCTTCCACTCCAAAGGCATGCAGAATTTTGTTGACCCAAGACCACTGTCTGGCTCTATTTTGGGGCACGCTAACCATAGATTAGGTCTCTCAGAGAGGTGTGGAAAGCCAGACACATACCCAGTCTTTTCTTGGCAGCTCACATGGTAAAATGTTGTGAACTAGGCAAAGTTTGTCCTCAACATCTGCAGCTGACCCTTTCTGAAGCTGTTCTTTTCCTCACAATATCCCCATTTTGCTCTGCCAAGCATGCCCCCTCCCATGTTAATACTTGCTTTCAAATTATGGACTATCTCTCATTGGTAATTGTACATGAATGACTGTAAGTCAATAGGTCACCTCTCTCACAAGCACTTATATGTTAAATTTCTCTCTCCATGTCCCATGGAAGGCTTTACCCCAGCGAAGGATTTTGTTGGTACATTAGCAGGATATATGGGTGGCAGTAAGAGTGGAGACCCTTCTCATGATCCCTGGAAAATCTCCCCACAGGACTGGCTAAAGAAGCCTCCCAATGATAAAGACAGACAGACTCAGGCTAGACCAGGTCTTGCTGATAGCAGGTATCATCTGCAAGGAAGGAGTGAGCAGACATCTAAAGAAAAATCATTTCCAATGTAAAGAAGATTGTCTTCAGTGCTCTCCCTGCCCCACTTCTCTTTTAAAGATCAGTCTACCTGACTTGGAACCTCAAACCCCATACACTGTCCTTGGGGTAATCAGGCCATTCACTGGTCCAATCTGGAGCCTCACCTACATGTGACCTTTATACTCCAGGCCATTTCTCATCCCCTTTTGCTCTTTACCAAAATTTATTTGTCCTGTGTCCCATTTTATCACTATGTTTTCCACTGCTAGGTCACATGAACTATAACTTGGTCATCACTGTTAGTAGGATTCTGGAATATAAGCTGGAGAGAGTATTTTAAATGAAATAAGGAGCCTCATGCTGGGAATATCAGCTTCTAGGAGAGGAGGCAGATATTTGGTGAGGAAGCTTATAGGATTAAGCAGCTGCAAGTATCCTTAAATCAGTCCGTATATATTCCCAGTATGTTATCATAGCAGTGAATCAGGCCTTGTGGGGGATACAGACAACTAAACATGACCATGGCCTCAAGGAGTCTTCAGTTAAGCAGGGTGGGATGGGGAATCCCAGATGCCAAGTACTTGCACCCACCCCTTTAATCATATTTTATCATGGTAGATATGGTAGATATGTGACTTCAAGGGACCAAGGCTCAGAAAAGTAAACTATTTTCCCCATGTTCTATATACATTGTGAGTGGTGGAGTAGGGATTTGGATTCGAATCTGGTCTGCTTCTGAAGCTTATGCTCCTTCCAGCATTGCATACTGTCATGGAACCAGAAGCCAAGAGGACAGATGAAGAGAGGGATGGATGCTGTGCAGGACCAATGTGGCCTGCGATGGGGGTCTAAAGAAGGGAATGAGCCCAGTGCCTGAGAGCAGAGAGAAAACTTTCTAGAACTGGGAAGTGGTGCTCCAGCAAGTTCTGGAGCCATGAAGGACAATATATTTATTCAGTAGTAGCTGGAAGGAGAGGTCTTTCCAGGTAGGATGACCAGTTTAAGGAGAAGCTTAGGAGTAGGAATAAAAGTGTGCTGGAGGCCAAAGGGGGGAGACTGCATTAAGGAAATGAAACATTCCTTGTGGGCCACCTTCTCATTTTACCGCATCCTAGTTGAGCTGAGGGAGGGAGACCAAAGGCAGGAGAGATTTCCCCTCGCAGGGACAGACACTCAGCAGGCCCAGCTTCCTCACAGCCCTACCTGGAGCAGCGGCCCCCAAGGAGGAAGCTCGGGGTCCCCAAGGCAAGGGGCCTCTTCTCCGAGTCCCTAATGACGCAGGTGGCCGACTTCTGGGAGGAAGGGTGAGGGAGCCAGGTGGTTCTCTGTTTTCTTTTCGGAATCCTGGCCAGTTTCAATTTACATAACACAGCTTAATCCACAGGAACCGGAGCCAGGAGGCAGGTTCTTTTCTTTCCTCCTCTCCAAGACACGGAAACCTTGATTTTCTCCCCATACCGCAAGCCAGTGCTGTTAAACAATATTGGATAATTGCACCTGTCGGCCTCCCTATATTGTGCTGAGGAAAAATAATTGCCGGTTTTCTGCTTTGCAGTTTAGCTGTGACTCCATCATTTGACTCGGAGCATGTCATTTTCTCCCATTTTAGGCTGTGCACAGTCAAGCTCGGTGAAAGGACTCACAGATAGCGGCCCCGCGTGTGTGAGTGGGCGCGGGCCTCATTCAGCAACGATTTCTAATTTATACAGCATTGAAAATCCACAGCTATAAATAAACAGTTCTGGCTGGCTTTGCTGCCTACTCAAATGCTTTATTAAAAAAAAAAAAAAAGGCCGCCAACTGCATGAGGGAGGAAAGCAAGGTGTGGATATGGGCTCTGGTTTCTGACACTTGGCCCTCTGAGGGGGTCGCCCAGGTTAGGGGTGGGCTCACTGCTCAGCCAGGCGGCCTCTGGGAGGCCTGGCCTCACCTCACTCCTTCCTCGCCCCCTCCCACTCCTCGTGCAGGTGCAACGTGTTTGGGGACTACGGTATATGAAACTGACTTCCTGTTATGACAAGTATTGCAAGTAGGTGCAGAGGAGCTGGAAATAGCTTGAGAAATGTATGACTCTTTTTGGGGGTGGGTGGGTAGGCCTAATGTACTGTTTAGGCAAACAAGATAAATCTCCCCAAATTCAAAATTGATGTCACACGTGAGACAGCGCCTCCAGAACATAAGCACGGGGATAGACCTGTGAGGTCCCTGTGGCAGGGGTGTCCTTCCTCCCTCTGTCTGTATGAATGGGTGAGAATTTCCACCAAGTTGGGGGTCCCCCGACCACTGTTTTTGGTCCAGCCTTGCAGCCCTACATACATTTTTGCTTTATGCTTTCAGATGACCATTTATTGCTTTGCTCTGTAATAAAAGGGAAGGTTGGCTCAGGAATCCACCATCTGTGGGAACTTGGACCAGTCCTTCCCCTCCTCTGAACCCAGTGCTGAACTGACACTAGCAGGCACAGGCATGTGAGGACCAAGTGGCTGCTCATATCTCCTCTCAATTCTGAATTCAGTGACTTGTTGATAGCTTGAAAAAGGCCATGGCACAGTGTTTGTACCATGGAAATAGGCAAAAACTGTAAATCAGAACCTTAAAATTTTCTTCCAGAGAGTTGGTTTAAAAACATTTACTAGGACACCAATGTCAGAAACTCAGTTTACTCATTTGTAGAGTGAGAATAATACATTTTCTACCTGTAAGATTTTTGTGAGTATGAAACGAGATCATGGAGGCGGAGTGTGGTTGTAAACTTCAAGACACTACACATATTATTGCTGGTTATGCTGTCATTGTTATTGTTGTTTTTTAAGCACTAATAGCTTGACACAGCCTTATGTGGGCACCACATGCCCTCTAATGAATGTTTAATCAGTGTTCTTCCTAGGGGTTTTGTTGTTTCTCTTTTCTAAAGCTACAGCAGCACCGAGGAAGCTGTGTGCTGATGTATGTTCTCAGAGGGAAATGGTTCTGAGGAATTTCTGGTGTTGGAATAGATACTGCACAGTGGTCAGTCATGCAGAAATCAAGGTTTAATTTGGTCCTGGGGACAGTAAAGCCCACAAATAGAAATCTGCAGGCTCATCCCAGCCAAGAGCTTACTATGACTCTGAGAACTATGCAGCCAGAGTCATCTTTGGGGTGTAGAAAATTTGGGTGATCCCCTGTGGGCTTCATATTTGGGGAATTTCCACTGTGACAACTGCTTTGGGGCTCCTGCTGAGACCAGGTGCTTGGAGCAGTCAAGAAGCAGCAGGAATAGGAAGAGAAGGGGTGTTCCCAGCTCAGTCCAGAAAGACTTGAGTCTCATGTTTATATGAGAGTAGAGTTGGGGTCAAGCAGGCTTCTTGGTGCCTGTCCTAGTCTTCCCTTATACCTCCTGCCCTACTGGTACAGTCTGCTCTCTTCCTTCACCCTGCAAGACCACACTGGCATTTTTGAGATATTTCTGGTGTTGGAAAGATATTGCACAATGGTAGGTTATGTAGTGATCAAGGTTTAATTTGGTCCCAGGCACAGTTTTACCATAATTTACCCATTTTCACCAAATGTCTCCTATATCATGTTTGGTTGGGAAGCCCAAGTACAATTTACTCTGGTGCCCACACCCCAAATTCCCTAGGCCTATGACACACCAATAGATTTGACTCTCTTTACTCACCACATAATTCTTCACAAAACATGCCTGTAAATAAAGACCTGGAAAATTCCAGTAGGAACTCTTTGGCCTCAGACAGGTAACTTCTCATCTAGGTCCTCAGCAACCTATCCTATAAAGTGAAGTTTGAATGATCCTAAATTTTTTTCTCTGTCTAAACCTTCTCTAACACAGAGTTTATGAATTTCTTTGGCCTATGGTCAGATTTTGACCACAGACTATCCTCCACAGAGTTCAGACAAAGGTAACAAATTCTGAGACAGTAGGAGTTATTTTTGCATGTCCAGCAAGCCTTTTAAAACTCAAGAGTCCTCACCCCCTTCTTAAGTTTAAATGTTGTTTCCCGTCCTTCCTACTTTCTTAATGTTTCTCCACCACCTCCCCACACCAAAAATAATAAAAAAGAAAAGAAAAATCCTCTTGTGTTTTCTTCCTTTTTAGTTCTTGGAAAACAGCATATAATCACTTCTCCTTCTTTGGCTGCCTCATGTCACCTGTGAAAACAAGAACAGAGAGAGCGACTTCAGATTTCAGGGTTTCCCTAATGGGTTCTTATGTAGGTAGACAGTCACCCTGACTTGAGGCAGTGGAAAGTTGAGGACGCTTTTCCCAAGGCAGGAGGTTGCCCTTCAAGGAGTTCTACAAACTACCATCACTATCACAAGGGCTAGAAGCCACTCTGCTCTCTCCCCTTGGTGCTCAGCTCATAGCAGCCAGTTGACCCATGGTGCTGCGGGCCTTTGTGCAGGTCTTTGTATCTAATATGAGCCACTGATTGCTGTTGCTTTGGGCCAGCTGCTTGCAGGTTGTACACAAATGTAGAGACAAAGAGATCACATCAAATTAGAGAGGAACTCAAAGACTGAGTAGTCACCTAATTAGGAGTCATTCTGTGACCTCTCACCAAATCAACTTATCAGCCTGGGTAGAAAAGTACTTGCATATTGATTAGTTTTTAGTAAGCTCATTAAAGGGCCTTTATTTGGCTGAAATTATAGCTTTGGATTTCTAGAATTACTTCTATTCAGCCAACAAGTCGTTGTCTCCATATTTAATGATCATAAATCTTTGCATAACCTTTGAAACTTCTGAAGCTTTGTATACCAACCCCCGGTGCTTTGAGTCTAACTATAATCATAACCTCACTTCTTCAACCCCAGGTACCAAGGATTGCAGACTTTATTTCCATTTAAGGAACACAACAAAGCATGGAGGGTTGGAGAAAAGCAGCAGAAGCAGGAGTGGAAGTAGTGGTGGGAAGTTCCTTTGGGAGAAGAGAGCAGGTGGCTCCTTCCACTGGACCAGAGTCTCCCATATCCAACACTAAGTAGCTGGATGGAGCACTAAGAAATTCTCACATACCCACCAATGTGCTAGAAAAGGCACTTTACCCAAAAGTGTATCTGTGTGGAGCTCCAACAGTCATTTCATTCCATAGAGACTTACATGGTGTGACTATAACAGGAATAATATTTTCCTTTTTGTTTTTACAAGTGGGGGTGGGTCCTTAGTCTTACATTCTCATGGGGTTGAGCAGTTTCTAGGCTTCTTTGAGTCTTCAAAATTCCTCTCTTACCATGTTTCCATAGTGCTAGAGATAAGGAAACTGTTGACTTAGTACTAGATCATACTATCTTACCCAAACAAAGTTCACAAAATGGATTTCGAACTCTGATTGGGAAATAATGTTATTTGTTATCACTCTTTTCTTCATTGGGAGGTTTTCCTAGGGGAACACTTCATCACTGGTGGTTAGGGAGTTAGGTCCACTCCTGACTTTACCCCTTTCTTCACCCTCATTAGATAGGACCAAGGAGTAGAGATATTTTAAGCCAAACACTTAATGTTCTTCTGCAAGATCCAAACATTTTCTGCTGGCATTGTAAATGAACCATTCTTTTAATCAATATCACTATGGATACTGTATGTAATTATACATCCTGTTATTCCAATAATCAGAACACAAGCTAAGTAAAAACATGCTGTTCACAAAGATTTACACCTATGTATCTACAATCACAAAAGCTACTTCTAGACTTCGAGTTGAAAATTTGAAGAACGTTTGCCTAGTTTTAGCGGGTTGGCCTGGAAAAGGGTGAGAAGGCAGATGGTTAGGGGGACATGAGGTGTTAGAGGAGTGAGACTGGAGCACCGATGAGCAGTCACAACGCAGAAGTAGCAGGAGACAGGTGGAGCTGAGGGCTGGCTGGAGAAACCCTTGCAGGTAAAGAGGTTGAGGAAGAGGGATATGGAATTAACCCAGAGTAGACTATTTAAAGAGAAGAAGTTAGGACAAGAAGGCAAAAATGCTTCAGAAATACATGAGGAGTCATCAAGATAAGATTCTTCTCACGTGAAATGATGAGGGACAAGAAGCAGAGCAGAACTTACAACAAATTTCTTCATGGATGAAAGGAGGCCGACAAGATGTCCTCTAAGCAGCTTTGGCAATAAATCTCCTTAAAAAGAAATCTTCTCTAGAGCAAGTAGCATTAAGGGATGGTTTGAATGTCATTCTGCCCAAGGCACCATAACAAGGCCACTTGGCCAGATCGAATGTTCTATTTATAAACTATCTTTAGGATGAAAAGGATTGATGGTCTCAGGCCTCAGCACATACCCCTCGGGGATGTAAGAAGAGGGGTCATGGGTTCCAGGCCAACATGGAAGTCCTCCTATATGTAGACGAACAGTCAGCTTATTGTCCATGATCCCCAACTGGGCCAGACTGCGCCTCAGGATTTCAGAAGCAGAGATTCCAATGAATCCTAGCTTGGATTAGCTTGCTCTCCTATTTCACTCATGATGTTCTTTAGGAACTGCACCATCCCTGTCAATTGGCATGCAGTTAGGTGGTTGTTACTTTTAATCGCCTTAACTGGGGAAACTGGTAACTTACGCAAAAATAGAAGGGGAGGATTAGAATATCCACCTAGAAAAGGTTTCTGATTTTTGCTGGAGGCGAATTAGATTAACAGTCATCGTGACGAACCCTATGTGCCAGGCCTTGTTCCTGTGTTGTCTCCATGATGCACAAGAGAAAACGGAAACAAAAAGACATTGAGTGCCTTGCACAGAGTCACAGGTCTACAAGTGGGAAGAATAAGGGAGGAGCCCAGGCAGCCCAGCACAGAACTTTTCTGCTAACCACGGCGTCACCAGTGTACTCCTTTGAATTTCTGTTCTCATGTAAGGAATCTCAGGTTGTGGAAGGAGAGGAGAAAGTAGGGTTAGCCCTAGTTTTGGACAGAGTAGGTGGCTGCTTAATAGGCATTCCCACAGATCCAGAACAGAGGCTTGGAGAGGAACTCAGAGGTAGAGGAACCATGCAGCTGACTGCCCAAGCCTAGGCAATGCTGTAGTATACACCCGCTCACACGGCAGGCATTAACCCGGACCCAACGGAGAGGTGCGGTTGCCCTACCTAGAGGGCATCCGAATGGTATTGACACGGGTCACACAGTGGAGGGAAGCCTTAGAGTGTTTTACCCAGACAAGGGCATGGGAACATGTGTTTGAATAGATAGTTCTGATTAGCCTTAGGCAATTTAAAAGTGTTCACTGTGCCCGGCCAGGTATGGCTCAGCGGTTAAGCATCGACCTAGGATCCAGGCGATCGGGTTCGATTCCGGGTCAGGGCACATGCCCAGGTTGTGGGCTCGATCAAGGACTCTCTCATCATTGATGTTTCTCTCTCTCTCTCCCTTTCCTTTGCTCTCTCTGAAATCCATAAAGATATATTAAAAATAAATAAATAAATAAAAATAAAAATAAATAAAAGTGTTCACTGTCATTGAAATTTTAAGTGATCTAACTTCTCTTTTAATGTCTAATATCCATTTCTGATTAAGATCTCAGAATTTAACATCATTTATGATCCTATTTTGATGCTATATAGCATGAATGGCTTTTCACTTATTCTATTCTTAAGGAGTTAAAAGCCTAAAGAGAGGAGAGACACAGTAGTCTCTGTCTGTTTATAGTAGTCTATCCTTCACATAAACATTCACATATGCATGATGTAAATGAAGGCCCAGGGGGTGATGCCTGGCCTGTTTGCTTTTTGAGACCTAATTGTAGTGAAACATTGGATATAGTACTTCAACAACAAGGCCTATTAAAAAGGACTTGTTGAAAATAATGATTCAATAATATTAAATATTGTGAAAATTTTGTTTTTTAATTCAATGGATGTTTCAAAGTCACTGTTTAACAATTTAAAAATTAATCATTGAACCAAATACAATTGATTAAAAAGTTATTGTTCTCTAAGCTCTGAGTAATCAATTATTTTTCTCTGCACATCTTTATCTGCCAAATTTTAAGTGGATTAGTTCCTGCCTTTCTTCTTTTTTTAAATATAGATTTGGGGAAGGCATCAAAAATCTTTACCCAGAATTTCAAGGAGCCAAAACTAGTTAGATATCAGCACATCTGAAATGTCAACACTTGTTTTTTCTGCCTAGTTTCCTGTGATTTGGAGTCCTGATTTTTGGGAGTAATTTTTAGTATTCCATTTTTTAAATGCTTTCAAGGAGGATATTGCCATTGGGACTTTCTTAACCAGCTAAATTCTCAAGTAGAAAACATGTGAAAAAGCCAAGTTGTGTGCTTATTTATCCAGGGTCTCAGTCTCCTCTGGGAAACATACCTTCGGAAGCTGTTGTGTGTTTTTTTTTTGCACATACGGCTTATGTTCTCACACCAGTTCATAGATTGGGAGGAAGATGCCGCTTCTGCCATTTCTATTTTGATAGAACAGAATGGCGTGTGGGTGTGTGATGTGGGGGACTGTATGCGACTCTTGCCTTCCTTATATACCAAATCAGGGTAGAGTTCCTGCACTTCTTGGGTAGGGAAAAAATCATGAGTATTGTGCAACCTGACTTTTTGGTGGTTAATTTTCCAACAAAATAATATTTTGGGCATTGGAGGGATAGGGAAAGCAGGGAGAAGAATAAAACTTTCCATTTGAAAATCAACTAAGTTAAGATTATTTTTTTCTGATGAAGCAGCAGCATGGTTCTACCCACCTATAATTAGAAAGCTTAGCTTTCCAACACACGCACATTGCCCAAGACCCTGTCTAAATGAGAACTCCAATCTCAAGCACAGGATGTGATCTTATCTGGTAAATGCCTCACTAAAGGTTGGAAAGCAACCTCATGGGAAAGGGATGAGAGCTCATCCCGGAAGGCACTGCTGAGGCTGCAAGAGCTAAAAGGGTCATTTCCTTCAAACCAAACCAAATCAAAACAAATAACAAAAAACCTTGACATTTAAACATCTTGTATCCCTCAAGCCCTTCCTTAAGTGGGGAAGACCCTGAGTTCATTTTTTCATGCTGGGGTTGGTGACACCTTGCTCTCTGGGTCCTGAGTTCTCTAAGGGTTCTTTTTAGCCTTAAAGGTAAAGGAAGTGCTGTTTGGGGGAGGAGGGGAGATCATTTGGTAGGGTTCTTTAGAAAGTATGACTCTACCCCAGGCTCTTCCTTTGCCTACCTTGATAAGACCTGTCTGAGACCTTGGACAAAGGCATCAAGCATCACTGCCTTCTGCTTTGAATTAGTTTCTCCTCTGTTTCCAGGAGGAGTGGAGAGAGGGCAAGGAAGAGGTGTCTCTGCAGGTAAAATACAAATAAACTGACCCCATTTCCAGTGGTTGAGCTTCTCTCCAAGTAGGTAGATGCCAGCACTAAAGATGTAGCTGAGAGAGAAGAAGGCTGCTAGACCCACTGGGCTGAGTTTGGCAAACACAGGATACACCCACGTACCAGTCTCAACGTAGATCCATAGGACCCTGCAGAAAATGACAAGTCACAATGATTAGGACAGTAGGGGGAAAGCTTTCTTTTTAGATCAATGAGTTCTAAAGCTCAGGGAAATGAAAAGAAGCCATGGGGGATATTTGTCATCAGTTCAGGTGTTGCACAAACCTACAGAAGTGAGTCTTTTCTAGATAGAATTGAGTCAATGAGACATCCTATATTTCATGGGCTGGGCTTGGATATTTTAACTAACCTATTAAATTCAACTATGGTGAAAAAATATGGGAGGACACTGAATACATCATTAGTCAAAGACAGTGTGGGAGACATGAATCATTCCTTTCCCTGAGAGGTATGACCTGCTGAGACATTGAGCCTGTAAAGATGGTATCCATTTGCTGGCTCTCAACCAGACAGATGGGCTTTGAATTTCTGTACCTAAGAGTCATGTGTAGTTTTCCATTAACTTTCCAAGTCTGTTGGGGTAGGAGGGACAGCGATCGAGCATTATTACTCTAGCACAATATGCCTGGGGTTTAATTGTTGGCCCTGATTTTACCTCCTGGATGAAGCCATGGATGGAGTGTTAAGTAGGAATGGATGGAATTACAGGAGGCTCAGATCTTGCTCATGTGAGGATAGAATATAAATCATTTCTGTAAGCCAAGAGAAGGAAAGAAATGCTAGGAGAGGAGGCACAATGTCTTAAGTGAAGCCTAAAAATGCAGCTTTCTGGAAATCAACTGCACTGGAAGATGCCAAAATCTGAAATAAATTTTAAAATTAAACATGGGGAAGATGATGTATCAGCTACAGTTTATAATTGGTTAAGAGTACAGAATCTGGAACCAGGCTTCCGTGATTCAAATCCTCATTCTGCCACCTATTAGTCATGTCGCCTTCAACAATTTATTCAACCTTTCTGTCCGCTGCCCTCCTGTGTAAAGTGAAGGGTGAAAATATTATGTACCTTATAAGGCCATTGTAAGGATTAAGGGAGTTAACACACGTAAAATAGAGCATTGCCTGGCACATTGCGATCATTTAATAGCAGTTTAAAAGCTTCTCTCCTCTGAGGATGACGGCACAGTGGGAGTATTCTCAGCAATCTTCCTTTTAAGGCTGTTCGTCTCTTGTAACACTTAAGATAGGTTAGGTTATGCTTCATAAACAACATTCAAATTTGGATACCCCAAGTTATCAAAGGATCGAAGAATGAAATTCTGTGCTTAATTAAACTTTCAGAAACCCAAGTGTGATCTTGATTGTTTCAAATACTTGTAGTCTGTTAAGTGCTTGTGGACAAGACAAGGGCTAATATCAGGGCCAGGACTAGGATGAGGCAAGGGAGGCCCCTATGGCATGAAATTTTAGGGGCCATTTCTGCGTGTCAAAGGACACAATCAACAGAGTGAAAATGCAAGCTATGGAATGGGAAAAACGTTGGCAAAACACGTATCTGATAAGGAATTAATATCCTGAATATACAAAGAACTCCTACATGCAACTCAACAAATAACCTAATTAAAAATGGGAGAAGGACTTGAATAGACATTTCTCCAAAAAGGATATACAAATGGCCAACAACCACATGAAAAGATTTGCATTTGCATTTTCCTACAACATCATTAATCATTAGGGAAATGCAAATCAAAACTAGCATGAAATACCACTTTATACCCATTAGGGTGGCTACTACCGAAACAGCAGAAAATATTAAGTGTTGGAGAGGGTGTGAAGAAGCTGCAACTCTTGTGCACTATTGATAACTATGTAAAATGCTGTAACTACTGTGGAAAACAATATGCCAGCTGCTCAAAACAATTAAACACAGAACTACTGTATGATCCAGCAATCTTACTTCTGGGTATATATCCAAAAGAATTAAGAACAACGACTCAAATTGAAACTTGTACGCCTATGCTCATAGCAGTATTATCCACAATAGCTAAAACATGAAAGCCACCAAGAGTCCAACTATGGGTGAACAGATAAATAAAATGTGGTGTATATACACAACAGAATATTATTATTAGGTCTTGAAAACGAGGGAGCTTCTGACACATGCTACAACATGGATGAACCTTGAGGATACTATGTTAAGTGAAATAAGTGAATCACAAAAGGGCAAATATTGTATGATTCCGCTTATATGAGGTACCTAGAGTCATCAAATTCAGAGACACAAAGTAGAATGGAGGTTGTCAGGGGCTGGGTGGGGTGTAGGGGCAGGGGAAATGGAGAGTTACTGTTTAATGGGTACAGAATTTCAGTTTGGGAAGAAAAAAGTTCTGTAGATAGATGGTGGTGATGGCTAACAACAGTGAGAATGTACTTAATGCCACTAAAACTACATACATAAAAATGGTTCAAAATGAATAATTTCACGTTATGTGTATTGTACAATAAAAATTTTTCTTTAAAGGAGGCATCGCTCTTGGGGGCATTAGGCATCACTCTTAGGCAACTCTACAAGTGTAGGGTTGGCCCTTGGTCCCTAGTCATGGCCCTGCTCTACCACTCCGCTGTCTCAAACTTGCCTAGATGCCCCCCTCATGTAATCAAATATTTGCTAGATTAAAAACAAATGGTAATTATTATTTTAGATAGTGGAATTCTGTGAATGTGCGTCCTGTTAACGTGCATTTTAGAAGGGTATTCACTGCAGTCCTTCCCTCTATGGCTGCTCCTCCCAACAGGTCTGGAGGTGTAAGGGGCAGGAAGTAAACAGTCCCGAGGGGCTTGGGGTTAGGAGTCTGGGGTCAGTGAGGACATCTGAATATATTCTAAGCAGGTTGCATTAATTAGTTCTCTTTGTTTACTTTATATACTTGAAATTAGGGCTTCCTGGTTCCCATGCACATTTATATAAGATAGTCTACAAATAAGGACATTGCCCTAGAGGCCTGGAAAGTTCCTGTTTATTTACTTCATTTTTGTTTCCTTCAGCTTCGGGCTCTGGAAAGGAGAGTTTCTGAGGTAAAATGAGGAAGTCTGTACTTTCACAGAAAAAGTGCAGGAAAGTTATATTAGCTGACAGTGAGGAAAGTAATGAAAATACAAATACAATATCAGGCAAGAATGCAGTTATTTAATGAAGGGCAGTCAGTAGACACCTGAGCGGAGATGTCATGCTCGGTATTGCTGCTTTATGGTTTCCCTGAATATATGGTGGGAGGAGAGAGAGGGAGCTGAGAATGGAGAGGGAGAGGAACTGGAAGAAGAGGAGAAGGAGAGGAAGGGAGGGAAGGAGGGGGCGAGGGAGGGA